CAAGAATTCCATGCCCAGGTCCACCTGAGAGAATTCCATGCCTAAATCCTAAAATAATTCCATGCCCAGATCTTCCTGAGACAATTCCTCAAGAACTCCATGCTCAGATCCCCCTGAGATAATTCCTGAAGAATTCCATGCCCAGATCCTCCTGAGACAATTCCTCAAGAATTCCATGCCCAGACCCATTCCAGATGTTTCCATGCCCAGATCCACCTGGGACAATTCCTCAGGAATTCGTTGCCCAGACCCCCAAGAGATAATTCCTTGCCCAGTTCCTCCTGAGATAATTCCTGAGGAATTTCATGCCCAGGTCCCCCTTAGATAATCCCTGAAGAATCACATGCCCAGATCCTCCTGAGACAATTCCTCAAGAATTCCCTAGCCAGACCCATCCCAGATGTTTCCATGCCCAGATCCACCTGAGGTAATTCCTCAGGAATTCCATGCCCAGATCCACCTGAGATAATTCCTCAGGAATTCGTTGCCCGGACCCCCTAGAAATAAATCCTTGCCCAGACCCTCCTGAGACAATTCCTAAAGAATTCCATGCCCTGACTCAGCCCAGATGATTCCATGCCCAGATCCACCTGAGATCATTCTTCCAGAATTCCTTGGCCAGACTCATCCCAGATAATTCCTCAGGAATTCCATGCCCAGATCCATCTCGGATATAATTCCTCAGGAATTCCATGCCCAGACCCATTCCAGATGATTCCATGCCCAGATCCCCCTGAGATAATTCCTGAGGAATTCCCTGCCCAGACCCATCCCAGCTGATTGCTGATGCCATCCCTGAAGCATTCCACCATGGCTGAGCTGGTTTTTTTTGCTGTTTGCAGATGCTGGGCCGTGCCGGGAGGCCGCAGTACGACACGAAGGGAGAGGGAATTCTGATCACTTCCCACGGGGAGCTGCAGTATTACCTGTCCCTGCTCAACCAGCAGCTGCCCATCGAGAGCCAGATGGTGGCCAAGCTGCCGGACATGCTCAACGCCGAGGCCGTGCTGGGCAACGTCCAGAACGCCAAGGTCAGCATCCCGGAATTCCCGAACCCCAGAATTCCAGAATTCCTGCTTTTCCATGGGGATCTGTGGCCCAGGATTAGGGACCAGGGAAAGCAGATTTCCTTGGGAATTATGAACAGGAAAAGCAGATTTCCTTAGGAATTACATACAGGAAAAGCAGATTTCTTGGGAATTAGGGACCAGGAAAAGCAGATTTCCTGGGAATTAGGGACAAGGAAAAGCAGATTTCCTTAGGAATTACATACAGGAAAAGCAGATTTCCTGGGAATTAGGGACCAGGAAAAGCAGATTTCCTGGGAATTAGGGACAAGGAAAAGCAGATTTCCTTAGGAGTTACATACAGGAAAAGCAGATTTCTTGGGAATTAGGGACCAGGAAAAGCAGATTTCCTGGGAATTAGGGACAAGGAAAAGCAGATTTCCTGGGAATTAGGGACCAGGAAAAGCAGATTTCCTTGGGAATTATGAACAGGAAAAGCAGAATTTCCTGGGTTATTTGGAAGCAGGAAAAGCAGATTTCTTGGGAAATTCCCTGCTGAGTGAAAGGCAAAGGATTTTCCCAGAAAATTCCAGCCCAGATCCCGCTGTTGTCCTGCCCTTCCCACTCCTCACTCTTTGTCCCTTTCCTGCTTCTCCAATCTGCTCGGGAACATCCAGAACGCCAAGGTCGCGATTCCAGAATTCAGAAATCCCAGAATTCCAGAATTCCCGCTTTTCCGTGGGGATCTGTGGCCGTGGCTCTGCCCCTGGCTGGGCATTTTGGGGATTGGAGGAGTTTTTGGTGTGGGAGTGGAAAATGAGGGGAAAATCCGGGGGTGTTTTAGGGTTGATTATGGAATGTTTGCCAGGAGTCGTGGAGAGAGGTGAGGAAAGCGAATTGGGCAGCAGGAAAAGCAGATTTCCTGGGAATTAGGGACCAGGAAAAGCAGATTTCCTTGGGAATTATGAACAGGAAAAGCAGATTTCCTGGGAATTAGGGACCAGGAAAAGCAGATTTCCTTAGGAATTACATACAGGAAAAGCAGATTTCCTGGGAATTAGGGACCAGGAAAAGCAGATTTCCTGGGAAATGCATACAGGAAAAGTAGATTTCCTGGGAAATTTAGGGACCAGGAAAAGCAGTTTTTCTGGAATGAGGAAAAGCAGCTTTCCAGGGAAATTGAGCACCAGGAAAATCAGTTTTCCCTGCGTTTTCTGGCTCTGTTTTGAGGGATTTAACCGGGATTATGCTGGATTTAATCGGGATTTAGTGGGATTTAACCAGGATTTTGCGGGATTTTGTGGGATTTACCTGGGATTTTGTGGGATTTTTCCGGGATTTTGTGGGATTTACCTGGGATTTTGTGGGATTTTTCCGGGATTTTGTGGGATTTGCCCGGGATTTTGTGGGATTTTTCCGGGATTTTGCGGGATTTACCCGGGATCAGCTCCCCTCCGGGGCTGCCCCGGTTCTTCCCGTTCATGCCGGGTGTCCGTGGGGCCGCTGAGGATTTGGGAATTGCTCAGGACGCCGTGAACTGGCTGGGCTACACGTACCTGTACATCCGCATGCTGCGCTCGCCCGCGCTCTACGGCATCGGCCACGACGACCTGAAGGCCGACCCCCTCCTGGAGCAGCGGCGCCTCGACCTCGTGCACACGGCCGCCCTCATGCTCGACAAGAACAACCTGGTCAAGTACGACAAGAAAACCGGCAACTTCCAGGTGGGATGGAGGGGAAAATACGGATTGGTAGGTGGGAGGGGGAAAAAAAATGGGGATTGGTAGGTGGGAGGGGGAAAAAAATGGGGATTGGTAGGTGGGAGGGGGAAAAAAATGGGGATTGGTAGGTGGGAGGGGGAAATAGAAAGTGAATTTTTAGATGGGATGGTGAAAAAAATGGGAATTTCCCAACCATTCCCATGGTTTATCCCGATCATTCCCGTGGTTTCTCCTGACTTTTCCCATGGTTTATCCCAGCCATTCCCATGGTATCTTCTGACTGTTCCCATGGTTTATCTCAATCATTCCCATGGTTTATCCCAGCCATTCCCATGGTGTCTCCTGACCATTGCCGTGGTTTATCCCGATCATTGCCGTGGTTTATCCCAATCATTCCCATGGTTTATCCCGGTCATTCCCTTGGTTTATCCCGATCATTCCCTTGGTTTATCCCGGTCATTCCCTTGGTTTATCCCAATCATTCCCGTGGTTTATCCCAATCATTCCCTTGGTTTATCCCGGTCATTCCCGTGGTTTATCCCGATCATTCCCGTGGTTTATCCCGATCATTCCCATGGTTTATCCCGATCATTCCCATGGTTTATCCCGATCATTCCCTTGGTTTATCCCGATCATTCCCTTGGTTTATCCCGATCATTCCCGTGGTTTATCCCGATCATTCCCATGGTTTATCCCGATCATTCCCGTGGTTTATCCCGATCATTCCCGTGGTTTATCCCGATCATTCCCGTGGTTTATCCCGATCATTCCCATGGTGTCTCCTGACCGTTGCCGTGGTTTCCCGGCTGTGGCGGCAGGTGACGGAGCTGGGCCGCATCGCCAGCCATTACTACATCACCAACGAGACGGTGCAGACGTACAACCAGCTGCTGAAACCCACCCTGAGCGAGATCGAGCTCTTCCGCGTCTTCTCCCTGTCCTCCGAGTTCCGCAACATCACCGTGCGCGAGGTACGGCCAACAACCGCCACCGGCAGCGCCC